AAATATTAAATCTAAAAATAATATTATATCTAATTAAACTTATTTAATTAAGCCATCAAATTAGCATCATTAAGTCGATCGTTAAGTCGAATGCGTGAAAAAATAACTCAGCCATCGGATTACGAGGGTTAACGAATTATTCTCGAAACTTTATTGTCACATCGCGTGTGAAACGGAATTGTACTTTACCTGTAATAGGTGAAAGCATCGGCTCTCCTTTATGAAATAACTGAACGCACTAATCAATTAGCCCAACCACGGCAGCGAATCGATGAGAAGCAATTTCAAGTACGATCAAATGTATCGCAGATCCCAAAGGCATCACCACGGATAATCGAACTTTCAAAGCCACGAATTCCGTATCAATATCCCTCTAAACCAGTTGGATACGTAGCACCCAGTGCTCTTACGGCAGTCGGTTCGTATTCTTTTTTTTTTTTTTTTTACATATTCCAATATTGGAATGATTTCTCATGAATTTTCATTTATTGTCCATTTATGATTCTTATATCTTTTAAACTAACAACTGGAGATGATATCGTATATGAATGATATCTTGGAATGATTTTCATTTATTAATAGATTAATAGAGACATTTATTAGAGAATTCTTTATAATTTTTGTATTATGTGAAAGAAAATTTATGAAATTCATTACTTTTTAAAAAAAAAAAAAATGTTAGAAATTAGAAATAATTGGAATAATCAGAATTATTTTCCAGCCACTCAACGTATAATTGAATTATCGAAACCAAAAAGAAAACGGAAATTAAAAATAACAAAAATTAATCATAATAAAAGAAAATCAAAATTATATAAAGAAAAGTCACGGTAATGAAACTAAAATTCTTTACTTTTGTATACGTGCGCGTGTGTAAATAAAAAAAAAAATAAATAAATATAATAATTTTATTTTAGAAGCTACGGGAAACGAGGTAAAAAGAAGGATTACAAAAACAGGGATTATAAATATTATAATAATGGGTTCAATCGATACAAGAATGATCGAAAACAAAAAATAAAAAAAAAACTGAAACTATCAAATTCCGACAGAACCATTATTATGGTTGGCTTAAATTTGAAAAATGACAAGAAAATTCGTCGATATTAATTGTGGAGAATAAAATGCGTGTTGTTTTTAAAATTTAAAATCGTTTATTTAGAATTTTAAAAAAATATGATTGTCATCGCATAAGATGTATTATATGAAGTGTGAATATAATTAAATAATAAGAATTTATCATATTTGAAAATTATTTGATCTTATACTGTTTTCTTGTTAAAAAATTCTTACTTACTTTATATCATATAATTTTTTTAATTTTAACAATATATATTCTTTCTTTTGATTTATTCATATAAATAAATCTATTTATGATAAATGAATCTGAACATATTTTAAAACGAATGAGATTTGTTGGAAAAGATAACAAGAAAAGTAGATTGAAAATAAGTAAAGATTTATTAGGTAAAGTAGATTATTTCTCATAGCAAAGGCGATAAATATATTGCTAAAAGAAAGATTATGATATTAAATATCGTCTTACCGCATATTATGTCCAACGCCGCTCGTTTAGCATAAGGAACAATATCGAATTCTGGTTTGCCAATTTCCTTTCTGAGGCATGAATTAATATTTGGGCCTCTCTAATTGTCGTCTTTAAATACAATTCCAAAAGGCCACTGTGGAAAGTTGGTGTTAGCAATTTCCGATGAAAGTGCCATTTTTCCCCTAGAACAAGAATTTATTATATTTATCGACTTTTCATTTTTTATTTCTGAAATGACACAATTATAATTTTTTTTTATCAGATTTTTATTATTTTTCATAAATTTATAAAATATAAAAACAAATCCTATTACTAAAATTTAACTTTTCGCTGAAAGAAAAAATTTCCCTAGGAATGTTGGTTGGCAAAAAATTGGCAAGAAACATTTTGCTCGGGGGATATGTAAAAAAATATTTTGATGATAGTTATTAAGAGAACATCCGACTCGAGTTCAATAATCATAAATTTTTGCTACTAGTTGTCTGGTTAGCAGTCTGCTGAAATTTCAACCGAAAAAAATCCCAATAAATCATGGTTAAATGTAGCCTCTAAACCGGCTAGATAAGTAGATTGAACCGATTTTTTCCTCTTTTTTTAGCGTCGTCCTCGAACAAATTGTTCCTTTTTTGCATTCTCTGGTTCATGGAAACCTAATAGTATGCCCTCGAGCACGTACGTGTTATTATAAGAATTTTTGTAGAAAACGGTCAGGATATCCCATTTAAAAAATTGAAACTTATGGGATTTCAAATTTTGTAACAGGTAAATTTTTTATTACTATTTTTTTACATCATTTTTATAGTTGTAATATACACTGTTAATAAATTATTATTATATAATATTATTATTAATATATAATATATATTAATGTACACTATTAATAAATTAACCTCTCGAATATTCATCGCTGAAATGTTTCACAAAATGTGTCACGAATTTTCATTATTATTATATCGTCTTCCTCGTGATATAGACATAAATAAATGAAAAGAAGAAATTTAAATTGTTAAAACGAAAGAGAGTAAAAGATGAGATGTAGAGGTTAACAAGAAATGTATCAATACTATTTACTTACCGGTACTAGTTACCAAACCGGAACCAAGCCAAGGCTGTAAATACTGGTATTCCAAACTTTTGTCAATATGAACACTACTGCTCAACAATGGTTGTATCGCTTCTGCTTTATAGAGAAAGATAAAAGGTCGCATCCCTACCCAGATCAAGTACATGTCTCCTAATTCCTTTCCCCATTTGATTATTTTTTTGAAGGCTTCTGTAACATATACATTTTTTGGTTAACTTTTACGGTCATCGACCTCTTACTTGTACGTATATCTTGTACAATTTATGCGAATTTTTTTTTTCAAGATATTGTCACAATTGCTCCTGTTGATCAAACTGATACTCTGGAACAGTATCTTCGATCAGATTAAGTTATATATATAAGTACAAACATTTTATCTAAAATTGTTTATCATTGCAGAGTTTCGATCTGATATAACGATATATCTGATATATTTTCACTCATACTTAGATTACGTATAAATTTTCTTTCATTTTATTTGACAACTTATTAATTATAAGACCACTTATTCATAAGATTGATCAAAATGATTCGAAAACTCGAAACATTCTTTTCGAACTAAAAAGATAATTTTAGCACGTTTATTTTTATCAAATCGATATCACATAAAAATCTTTTTACTTTCCATCACAAATAGCGATACGATTTTAAAAACGGATTCTTCGATTTCTGTGAAATAATTTTTGTTATGTATTATTTAACATTAACATTTTGTAGTTGTTAATTGAATAAAAATTAAATAATATAGTAATAAATATGATATAATAATATCGATGGAAAATTCGAAAAATCACTGTAAAATACTCGCTTCTCAGCGAGGAAAAACTGTATGAAAATTGTAACGATCGAGGAGTTAATAGAACAAAGAAATAATTTACGAGAATTTCAAAATGTATATATTCCAAAATATTCTTATCTGAAACGAAGATGGAAATCAGCGAAACGCTGAATTTTTGCAATGCGGTAAGATTGCCGATATTTCCATATGATTTCCGGCGGCCATTGACCCAAGACATCAATATACAGAAATAGACCTTTTACAGTTATCGTCGTAGCCAATCAAGTTATTGTCGTATCTCTATGCTTGTTTCAGCCTCGTGACGCGAATTATTTGTCAAGAAAGGGAAGACGAGCATTGATGTAATGACACGAGAGAGAGAGAGAGAGAGAGAGAGAGAGAGAGAGAGAGAGAGAGAGAGAGAGAGAGAAGAAGAGAAGAGAAGAGAGACGAGAGAG